GCAATCTTGGTTCCAAGTGCCAGCGGTAGGGCAACGAAGGGCTACAGCGGCCATGTCCGGTCTATCTGCTGTCCGCAGACGGGTGCGAGCGCACACCGGTTCAGCAGGTCATAGAACAGCGATCGTGTCTCCTTCTTCAAGATCATTGAACACTTGAGTCTAGTCGGCAAAATGACAGCTCTGCATATCTTAAGTTTGGTGTTAAGGTGGAGGCCATGGCTATCCCATACGGGGTGCTGTGTCCAGTCGAAAGCTGGGTTGGTTTTCGAGATTGGATGAGCCACTTCGCTGCCGATTTTAATGCGGCATGAGAGTGCACTGGCTAAGTAGGCGAAGCTGTCCACGATTTACAGTTGAGTGCCATTGACGTGGATGCGAGAAACACTGTATGCAGCGCTGGGTGGCCGTTGATGCGTGAACACCGTTTTGGCCGAAACCGAAGCACATCCCAAAACTGGGCCGTCTACTCCACAGTGTCTGTCAAAGCTGACTGAGAGTCCTGATTCGGACCGTCAGTCTTTCGGGTTCCACCGAGTGAACTCGCCAAGCTGCGCAAACAGCTGGACAGCCTAATTAGCTGTATGTGGGAACACGGTGTCGCGGGGGGGGGGGGGGGGGAGGAGCGATATGTGATATGCTGGCAGCACCGTAAACCCGCTTGAAACTTAATCAACCTAATTAGGACTGACTTTTGTGATGCAGTTTAAGGAAGCCAATTTTGTCTTCATCCCGAAGATTACTCTGTCTTTGCTTTCAAAGTGCAGATGATAGATTTCGATGGGACAATGTTTTAGGCTATCCAACACTGCACGTTTACAATATCGTAGACTTTAAAATATCTGCTCTGATGCAACAAGCAGGCATGGTGTCTATGTCGAAAAGTGAAGCGACATGTAGCGACTAAGCTGTGGGAGTGTGAACTCAGTGCGCTACAATCATCAAGTTAAATCCCGTATTGGAAGGAGAAGACAGGAGTCACCAGAATGAAGGGTTTACTGTATACAGAACCCGCGGTTGTCCTTTCAGGCGGAAGTGGCCACCGGCGAATCCAGGGCTGTTGTTGACTGTGTCCAGTCATCATGTCCGAGAGTCTCTGGACCAGTGGTGGCAGCCGCTTTTGTAAGCTCGTGGGCCAAGCTGAATGATCTCCAATCGGTGTGCGGTGCATTTGCCTTGGGGTGATGTCCCAGTTGTCTAGGTTGTGATTGCAAGGGAGAGGTGCGTTCAAGTGACTTCATGGGCAGCGCGACTGTTTGGATGCAGGTATGTCCACAGCGCGTCTGGGAGGGCTCACTGCAGGAGGAGGAGGACCTAGCACGTACGAGGGCAATGAGGGCGCATGCGATGGGTGAACGTGCAAGTTTAGTGAGAGCATTTGAGATGGATGCGTCTGGCGTATGTTGGTGCTCCAGACACTGGTTGGCCACTTTCTGTGTGATGCATTCGCAAGTGACCGACCATGTCGATGCGCGAGGCAAGCTCGCGGCAACAGTGTGGATAGGATAGGTTGGACGATGTTAGGTCGATTGTCGATGTGGTGCTGTTAGTGGTGAGCGCGCGGATCCATGGGGAGTTGATTGTGTCGGAGATGGGAGAGTTGGCAGATGTGCAATACTGCATGTGTCAATACTGCAGTGAATTCCGCCGTTGTGGATACAACTGTGATAGTGAAGACGGGTGCGGTACTCCAGACACTGGTGCGCTGTGTGATGGTTTTGCGAGTGACTGGTTAGGCCTTTGCGTGAATGTGCGATTGGGTGATGTCAAGACCGAGTTAGATCGCTGGAGGAGGGGGTGGTGGTAGGCGGCCGTCGGGAGCGTTTGGGTCGTTGGCCAGAGTGGGAGCTGTGACTGTCATCGCCATCGTCGTAGAGGTTGTGGCAAGGATGATGTAGATGTCGGTGGCGGGGAACCGGGATTGTACTCGCTGTTAGTGAGAGCGGCCATGATCGTGGCAGTCGTGTGGGTTGGAGGAGGGAAGATTGAAAAGGCAGCAATTGAGATTGTCGGGATGCTGGTGTATTGATCTCAGAGGTGCCTAACAAGATTTATATGCGCGCTAACTGTTCGTTGACAGTGGGAGCATGTTGGGAGGAGTCGGAGACGGGACTGCCAGACAAATGCCAAAACACTGCTGATACAGTCACGGCAAATTTTGGTTCGAAGTACTGCCTGCAGGGGAGCGAAAGGCTACAGCGGCCATGTCAGGTCTATCTGCTGTCCGCAGACGGGTTCGAGCGCACACCGGTCGTGGAACTTTTGAGTCTAGCGTCCTGTCCACAAGTCCGCGTAAGGAATCAGATCTGTGAAAGCCATTCCCAGCCGAAGGGATAGAGAACGAGCCCAACGACCGAACTTCGTAGAGCCTCGGGCCTACATGTTCATTGGCCCGTTGGAACCGGATTACAACATCGAGTGCCTCAACACCTCTGGGCCTCGGGTGCCGTCGATTGTCAGAAATAGTCGCTTCAGTGCCGCCGGTATTCGTTTTTGGCAGTTCTCGTTCGCTGACCTCTCATCATGCTCTGGGCGTTTTTGTCAGCATTGGATGTAAGACGTGCTCCGTTGACTTGCCGACGCATATCTCACCGAGAATGCGCACCTTCCAGTGGCAGTGTTTTAAAGACACCAAGTTAAACACGCAGTCTGCAGGAAATGGTGAAATGCGACCCTCAATGGTCCCAGAACTTAGTACTATAGCGTCAGACTTCAAAACGCCCATCGGCCAAGTAATCCGGGTTCGAATCCTAGGTCACTCGAACATCGGGCTGGCCGTGACAGGCGGACGACGGCTAATAGGCCAGAAACGTCCACCCTAATTTTCTAAATCTCTGTTGGCCTCGATTTCTGGGTTACGTATTTTCAGAAGAGCGTTTGGCAAACATACGCAGGTCCTCAACACATTCCCACCTTCCCCCCTCCCACCAGCCCAAGGCAAGTCTTTAGACAAATTCAAAAATACATTCAGCCTTCCGCAGGGTGGAATGGCGGTGGCTACTCTGTCTGGAGGAGGGAAGAGGGCGGCAGCTTGCCCTCTCCAATCTCCGCACGGCTACCGTCGAACCAGCACGCTCCCAACACTACGCATTATTTGAAATAAACGCAATGCCTCTCCGGATGTTCTGTGTGGTCACCAAATTTCCCATGCAATTTTTTTCCAAAAAATACGTATTCTGACGTGTACGTATGCCCTGCACAAAAAATGTCCTTTTAAGTTAAAACCCACACAGCAGCATGCGTTCCCCAATGATGCAGTCTGTTCAAACGTACTTATCGGCCGAAATAAGGTTCTAAACGTCTCAAGGTCACTCTCAGTCGCGCCTGCACTTTTGACACCTTCGAGAAAAAATGCCTCGCTGCCTGACAGAAATTCTCAACGATCTTTCGCAGGGCGACCGTAACGAGTAGTGATCACCAGAACGCCCAGGTTAGGATCCACGGTCTGCCGATTTGCCCCTAACGATGCCATCCAGTTAATGTCTGGATAAAATTGCTATTATTAGTAATAGTATTATAAGATTTCTCGCGGGTCGTTTTATGGCGTGCGGTGGCCAATAATCGAGAATAATTGCAATCAAATATCGTAGTAGGGTCGACTAGTGCGGGCAAACATTCCCTCAGGAACCAAACTGCCCCTGTCGTTAATGATTCCCAAGAATATTAGGGATTTAGATTTGTTTATGATTTTGGGTTAATTTAACGAGTCCAAACGCATACTGAACAACACCATGTAGGGCTGTTTAGGGAAATAGGCAAGAAAAAAGTATATGACCGGTGTCAGAAGGAGGCAACCGGTGGAGTGCGTCTTACCAGAGTGGTGGCAGGAGGGGTTATATGGGTACGGCCTCATAGAAGCGTACTGGAGCCGCCTTTATAGGAAACTAAGCGAGGGAGGCCCCGTGTCCGGCAGAACGGTATGGGCCCGCGTGGACGAAGTAAAGTACCGCCTTGGATTTAGGCTCAACATCGCAGGTCTAAGGGAGGCATGGGAGACCTTTCTATCTCATATCGAGGAAGTAAATGAGTAGGTCGTGGCGTAATGTTCTCCGTTGGGCACCCGGTCATGATGGCGATGTGGGTCGTGGGAATATATATCCGCCTAATCTGCGGACAAATATTTTGCTATTAACTAAGGAATTACGTGTAGGCTGGGATGCAGAATAAGGAGTCTATATGGACATTTTTGCAGCACCGCGTTCTCCATGCGGTTTAGTTCAAAGAATGTCATACTGCCGAGGTTAGAGCCGTCATAGAGCGTGATTGGATTCCCATCAAAATTTCCACCGAACAACGCCTAAGTAGATAGATATAGTAGGCATTTCTCGAGAGTAACCGTACCCCAGTCATATACTTTATCACAGTCGTGAAATTACCTTATTATGAAATACTATGAAGAGCGAGGCTTCTGGTCTACAGACGGATGCGTGCACGCCTCATGGAAATGGGTTGTTGTTGAACTGGTTCCCTGCCTGACAGTGGGTCCATCTTTTGTTCCCTGCCCGCTTGCTGCATTATAACGATTGCAGACTTTCGGTTGCAGGACTACTCAAGATGGATCCCGGATGGGGGAATCCAATCTCCTTCTTCAGTGGCAAATATCTATCTGACTTTCTGTATAAAGCAGAACAGGACGGCCTACTTAGGGTAATCGACCATTTGGTCCACGATGCGTTCCTGCGTAGGTTCGTTGTTTCAGCTTATTTTTCTACCGTCTCTGATAATCTGCTCGCGAATCGAAAAGCTTTGCCGACACAACCAGGGACATTAGAATAGCTAGTAAGACTTATTTAACGTCATTAGCCAGTGATATCCCCAGGCTGAACACACAAAGCTCGAACACCGAGCCTGTTGGTCATAGACAAACGCACCCCCCTCCTGCGACATGTTAGTTCGACCGTCGTTTTCGACCATGTCCACGGCAGAATGAGAGCAGGGATGGAGACTTGGGCGTGAATTCCTTCATGATGATAGTAGTCTTGCGCAGCATCTACCACACTCTCCTACTCCTCCTCCTCCTCCTCCTCCTCCTCCTCCTCCTCCTCCTCCCCACCTGGGCTCGATGCCATGACAGAGTCAAGAAGGCCGGCTTGTCTTACCTGGAGCCATGGATGACGCGTCCCTCGACGTTGTTAAAAATCGATATTTTCTCCTCTCTAACTCACATAACTAGGCTAGGGCGTTGTGATTTGCATTTCGGTTGGGCTTCTAAGGCAGACCTATTAGAGGCAAAGGAATGGCAGTTGCGGTATCGACACACTCGAAACGGATCACGATTATAACAAACGGAGCGGTTTCACCGGCGGATTGTGTGGCTATACCAGCCATATCTGTCGTGGATAGGAAGGTTGCTGATTGACGCCCGCTCTCGGTTCACGCAGTTCGTCGCGTTGTGTGTGTTGTGTGGAGTGGCGGACTGGAGGGCTGGGAACGGGCCGAAACAGCACCTTCCACGGCACTCTCACGCAAGTGAGAGACACGCCGTTCAACCCCCGTTGTGTGAAATCCTGGTGTTGTGTGTATGAGGGACCAGGTCGTGCCGTGGCGCTCGCAGTCATGGTCAGTCAACCATGACAGCCACCGCGCCCATTCCCCACTCCAGTCTGCTGACCGGCTCGGACAGCGGCTGGGGTGTGGGAGTGGGGAGAGTGAGGTCGATGACTCAGCGCACTTCCTCCTCACCATAAACAGTCTGACGCGCTTGAAGCTATCACGGTGCGCTAAAAGCCGTGGCTTGGAAGGTTGCCAACTGACGGGGTAACTTGGACCTCCTTCTTGACCGGAGGCGGTCTGAGAGTCAGGCTGCAATGGCTCCTTTTTAATGTGGCCTTTATGGCACTCTCACCACAGTGTGGGATCCGAGCCAGGCGTTGGCGGCACGCCCAGGTGCGGCTTCGGCCGTGCCAGCCTCCAAATCTCTGTTGTGTTGGTTGAAATCCTGGTTATTGTTGTGTGGACCAGGGGGTGTGGTGGAACGCCAAGGTGAGGATCTGTCCGAGCCATCCACCTGCGGCCTCCCTCGTCTCCGGTCTTCTTGACTCTGTCTTGACACCGGGCCCAGGCGAGGGAGGAGGAGAGAGTGTAGGTAGATGCTACGCAAGTCTACTGGCACTATAAACCCCTGCGTAAGTCACCGTCCCTGCTCCCATTGCTGCTGCAACAGTGGGGCACACGGTGGACATCATCGAAACCGATGGTCGAACTGTCACCAGCCATATCTTTTGGACACGGATATGTGCACCGCACTCCTAAACCATTGCAAAAAGCCACCATTTATACAGGAACGGTGATAATTGGTGTCTTTTTGGAGATGAAAGGTGGGTAAGATGTGGTTCTGCAGCCGCACCTGATAGACACAATATCGTTGGGGTTAGGGTTAGAGGTTAGAGTCAGGGATTAGGGCAAATATTTCCCAACCACTCAAAGTACAACCGCGAACTCCCAATAGTTTTTCATTTGAATACAACTACTTGACCTTGTCGCCTGTGTCTTCCGCTGCCCCACCTGTAAAACCCCTATTGCCACCGATCCCGTATTACAGGTGGCTGGGGTTTGTTTGCTTCAGGTGCGACTACATAACCATATCTGACCGGAATGTGGTATTGAGCAGATAAAAAAAATCGTATATGCGCCGCATGTTTGTTTTAACGTATCTCGTAGGAAGGTAGCTCAGGACTGAGGGTATGCCTATCCGCGCTTTATCATATGCTTTATTTATTGTGGTTCATATTTACAAATATTCTAATTCTTGCATTGACGGATTATACTGAAGTCGTCGGCTGAACTCTTTGCTTACGAGTTCCACTATTTTCACAGACAATGATCACGTTAGACATTTAACATATTCGGCTGGAAGCACTGTCGTTGTGGCGCCTAAATGAGACTCAAAAGTGAGTTCATACCGAGCTACGATATGTCCCAGTCAGACTGGACACTGTGTGGCGGCCACCCATCATGACTGGTCCGGTCTTCATTGTTCAAGACCTCGCTGTCTCAAGGCCATCCGCCCTTTTGCGGTGAGCCGTCCCAGACGAGCTGACCTGAAGTCACACGACCGGCAGCTCGGGCATACCTGCGTCCGCGCAGTCCCAGCTGCCCATGCGGCCACTTGAACGCGCCACCCCCTGCAACCAGTAAAACAAGCCACTGGGACACCACCCCTCGGCAAATGCAACGCACACCGACTGGAGACCACTTGAGCTGGGCCAACGAGCCTACAAAAGAGGCTGCCACTACTATCTCAGGGACTCTCAGGCCTGACTGGACGCAGTCAACACCAGTCCTGGCTTCTCCAGTGGCCACTGCCGCCTGAGAGGACAACTCCGGGTTCTGTGCACAATAAACCCCTCATTCTGTTGCCTTCTCCTTCCAATCTGGGATTTGACTTGACGACTGTAGCTCACATGCTGCACATACTCTGGCAGCCTAGCCACGACAGCCGTGTTTTAGTTGTTTTCTCTGACAGTCATGAAGGCAGACATGAGTTGACTGTTTGTGGACACTTAAGAGTGTGGAAGAAGTCGCTTTGTGAAGGCTTCCAAGATATCGTCACTCGAACAGTCAAAGCACCTGCTGTCTGGAGCCTTGATAACAGTTTAGCGGGACAGCCTGTTGCATCTCGACCACTGTTTTCGAAAATTGAGGCTAAAACGATCGAAAAATGTGGCGTTATCCAGTTAGACAAAAGCACAGCGCGCATACGCATTTCGTATTAGCTGCTGTAAACATCCAAATTGGAGATACTCAAATCACGTGCTTGCGTAAAAAAATGAGGACAGATATGACACAACTTGTTCCACTGACCTTGCCTTGAGTTCTTTCATATTGACCCAACTGTGAAAAACTCGGCGCCTCGGTGGGATTCGAACCCACGCAGTAAGGGGCAGGCTTCAGTACAGCCAACGCTCTAACCACCTATGAATTGAGTTCTTTCATTTCATTGTGCCACAGTCCTCAAACAGCCAGAAAGAGAGTTTGCTACCTAGCCTGCAGCCTCGACATCACCAAACAATTCCTGCAGATAGTATCCTAGCTAATCTTTTTTAATCGTTGTCTGCTTTGGTTTCGCGCATTGATTTCAGAAAAATACTTGTGCACTACGTGGCCGGAGGGAGAATAACAAATGTTAATCTACAACTTTTTTTAAGATTTCGTTTTTGAATGCAGTTCGTTAAAGAAACAGAAAATACCGTGATTACTTTCTGTCTAGAGCTCGGCGGTCACAACCCCAATAACCGTCCTTGACTGGTTGGTTAACCCAGATGTGGGTGTCCGGGGGGTGTGTGTGTGCGTGTTTCTCCGTGAAAATCTGGTCCATCTTGCGTGAACCATGCGTGTGTGGCCCGCGTGTACAGGCTGTTTGGCTCTGAAAGCCTCTGCGCTCTATCCACCCCCCCCCCTCCCCCAGTGTCCTTGACTGCATGTTGACACCGTGCTCAGACGTTCGAGGGGGAACGAGTGCGATTGATGCAGTGCAAGTCCACTAAGACTACAACCCAACTCCTCCACCCGGACCCGGTGTCAAGACGCAGACAAAATGGTCAGGGGCTGGAGAGAGCGCCGATGGCTGGCATGGCGAATTCCCGCACCTAGAGGTGCCACCACCTGGGCCCGGAGCCACGATCAAGTCAGGAAGACCGGAGGTGAGAGGGGCGCAGGTGAATGGCGCGGCCGGAGCCGCTCCTAGGCGTGCCGCCGCATCCGGTTTGGATCACAGTGAGTGGGTGCACCATAGAGACCACATTAAAAGGAGCCATTGCAGCTTGACTCCCAAGCTACTAGTCGGTCACTCCACTCGAACACACATTGGACCGAGTTCCGTGGTCAAAGTTATCCTGTCAGTTGGAAATCATCCAAGTCACGGTCATAGAGCACTGTCATCACAATCCCTGGTCACACAAGGTACACCGGCCAGCATTTTATACCACAACAAAAGTAGGGGGTGGCACAGGCCCAAGTGGCGCGACGTGAGTCTGCAACTTGGCATGTCACCACAACCAAAATGTTGAAATTTTTATGGGTGCGCATTCCTGGTGGCGCCTGCTGGTCTCTGATGTCGGCTCAGCGCATCTCCCGCGTGGTCCCTTTGAAGCGCACAGACAGTAAGTAGACTTACGCTGGCCACAACAAAGTTATTCATGAAGAAGATCCCCGAATACTCCTGTACACAACAGGCCTTTAGGTCCATCATAAGTCCCAGCTGAATTGACTGCAGCATTTATCCCTCGACGTCGTTTTCACGCTCGCCTTTTCTCTAGCCTGGGACCAGTGTGGCAGCCTGCTTGGCTTAGCGACAGCGACCGAACCCCACTGCCTGGGTCGCGTGTGACTCGGCCGCTCACCTTGTCGTGACACCGATCGATATATTGATCGTCACTGATTGACGGACATCAGACATGCTTAGGACGCACAATCGTGCCTGTCGTGAAACTTTTGCTGCTGATGCTGCTGCTACTGCTGCTGCTGCCGCAGTTCTGCCCGACTGTTGGTTCGCAAAACTTCTCGTTGTCGATTCGACACTTTGACGACTTACTCTTTTCGTAATCAATGGGCTGAAATTGTTTTACGTTTGGAAAGTCCTACCTGATGTCACATAAATGACCACCACCGAATGGTCATTTCCAGTTTTGAACATATGAAACACTGCTTGTCGTGGAGTTTAGCTTCCGTGCATACCTTTTTCAGAAATAAAAAGAGCAAGACATTACTAATTCCAGCAAAATATCAGTAGTTATATGTGCGCTCTGCAGTGCATTCATAATCGAAGAACGGCGTCTAAAAGCGAGCAAAAACAGTGGAAATGGCCTCAATATGTAGAAAAAGACATGTTCTTACGTTCACGGTATAAAAACAGCATTGTTTAGAAACGTGAGAGAAACTGCCAAAAGCGTCAAATTTTTACTTGGCCTCACCGAGCAAAAATGCAAAGTACATAGAGATCCGTCAACGAAGTTCAGTAAAAAAGCACTTCTTAAAAAGGTAAAATGTTAAGAAAAGTTTTCGTATTGATCGAAGGCATATTCCTTGTTGACTTTCATTGTGGACAGCCATTTTTCTCGAAAATGAAATTTGATATTTGAATGAGTCTTCACATGTGACCCAAACCACCATCTTCATGAAAAGGAGCGCCCGAACACGCACCAATTCGGTAAATGCCTTCAAGAATAATCTTAAAGTTCTCAACAGACGGCTAATTCAGAATCTGTTTTTATGGACGATCGGGCAAAAACACTGGAAATCATGGAGTATTCAGCAAAAATTTAAGGCCGATCTGAAACTCAACGCAATAAAAAACGAACGAAAAGTGTAAATTAATTTAACTGTTTTGATGCTTATGTGGACGTCTTAGCTGATTATTGATTATTTTGAACTTTGACCTTGCTCCTATGCACTGCCATTCTGTACAAATTCATACTGCTGTGCGCGTTCATTCGTTACCTATGTTATGCAGAGACGGGTTGCAGTTGAAAAGCCGTCACGAAATTTGTTGGCCCCAATAAATTCTGCTGTACATGCTTGTTTTCAATTCATACCGGGGAAAAAATGCTTTAAAGTTCTCTCTGTAAACAAAAAAATGGTATGTCTACGATCATGTCTGTTAGGTCTATTTACATTTATTAGGCACCGACTGGCCTCAAGGCATGTCACCTTATAAAAAGTTTTGTTCCTCCGATGTCCCCATCGGTTAAATTAGGCAAAATCCAGTTTCTCTTGTTGAACCCCATCTCATTTAACTCAAAAGAGTCAAGGATAACACGAACCCTCGGAAAACTGTTTTGGAATCTACAGTCAGAATGTAGGCATTTAACCAACCGCCATATATGAAATCACACTAAGTTGTAAACGATATTTAGATGTAAACTTCACTGAAACACTATTACTAGACGTTATTTTATTTTTACTTTCATATTTATTACGCTTTTGGTATCAAAATACATTCTATACATCTGAAAACAAAGTTTACTAAATTAGAGCCATTTCTGACGCTTTCGGGATATTGCGCTTTTCTAAAGAAATCGGCATTTCTAAACAACGCAACACTGCCTTTAATATTTCTTGTATGCTCTTAATTCTTTTAATTTTTACTTAACATAAACATTAGACTCATGAAATGGTGTCGGTTTGCGAGTGATTGACAATCATTCGTAAATTTCGACACATTTAATGAGTTAGGTCACTAACTGTACGAGCCAGTATGGGGACTCCCAGGGCAGCTAGGCGTCCCCTGGGGGAGAATGTCCAAAGCGCGGATTAATTTAGTTATTTTTACCTAAGTACAAGTCTTCCTTGCGAAGGAAGCGTGTTCCATCATGCGATGGGGCTGCCTGAGCGACCGACAGAGCATTCTGGAGCGGGATAAAGTGATTTAATTCGCGCCCACCAACGATCGATAGCGCTTCACTACGGGGTTGTCGAGGTGTGAAATAACCTACCCTGCTCCAGTAGCCTTAAAAGGACAACTCTGTGACCTTTGTAACCAGAGGCGGTGTCTTTCAACTCTGCGGCTGGCAATTCACGCCACAGTAGCCTCTGACACAAAGCACTTTTACGAGCATGTGACCACGTGCCTGCCCCAGTCGTCTACTTGTTGTAAATAAGCCTCTCAGTTGGCTCCCACAACAGAATGCGCCGCCAAATCAAGACGCCAGACAGGACACTGATAGAAGCGAACAGGCGAGTCCCAGGTAGCAGTTCAGAAGATGAAGATGCGATCACTGGGACAAGAAGTTTATTTGCCTGACGTTTCGGATTCTCACTCGAATCCATCATCAGAGACATTCGCAGATAGAGGTGAAGGTGGCACCAGGCGTGCAGTATTTATAGCACGTGGCTGCCGTGGGACCGTATGCGCACTGCAATTAACAGCTCTCACAATCGCCGCTGGGGTCGTAATTGATGCGGCGGTGGCTTGGCGGTCCGAGTCCGAGTTGTTAATTGCCGCGATTTCGTCATCCGTGCTCGATGCTGGTGTGACGATTGCTCGGCAAATTGGCTCACTGTCACCGTGATAATTGCTCACCCGCGCCCTCCCCACGTGACTGATTCTGCTGCCCAGGGAAAATCGCAATACGGAATAGGGTACCGGGAGGTCAATGTGTTTGTTGATGGATTGCGGGCCTGAGAACCATGACTCGAGCAGCTCGCGGCTCACGCGGTTGTCACCCCTTGCGAGGATTTCGGCCTCTTGAAATTTGAAAATATGGCCGGGTCCCGTCGAGTGTGCCGCCACTTGAGAGTTAGCGTCTCCCCGCCTCACTGCTGCTGCGTGCTCGGCAAGTCGCGTACGGAGTAATCTCCCAGTTTCTCCGACATAATTGCTCTGTCCGCAACTACACCAGATCCGGTAAACGACTCCAGACGTTTCCTGCCGTGGCAGCGGGTCTTTTGGCCTCATTACTTGGCGCCTAATGGTTGCTTCCGGCCTGTGTGCAACCCCAACTTCAAGTGGAGTGAGAAGACGACTGACGGCTTCCGAGACGTTCTTCACGTACGGAAGAGCCCGCCAAAATTTGGGGCTAGTTGGATTTGGTCTCTGGTGTCCTTTTCGTATGCACTGGTTGACAAAGTTGCGCAGGTAGCCATTGGCTCTCATTACCCGTCGAAGATATTGTAATTCAGCAACCTTGTCTTCCATTTCACTGCAGTGCGTCTCAACACGCCGGTATAGCGCCCTTACGCAACTGGGTTTGTGACTGATCGGGTGGTTGCTATTGAAGTTCAGTATTTGCGTCGTATTTGTCGCTTTCCTGAACACTTTGGTTTTTAGGCCACCGCAATCTTTGCGGCAGACGAGGACATCCAGGAAGGCCAGCTGATTGTTTTCCTCCTCCTCCATCGTAAATTGGATGTTAGGGAAGACGGCGTTGAGTTGTTCTTTGAAAGTCAGCACCTGATCCCGTTCGATGACGACGAAGGTGTCATCCATATACCGAGCCCAGAATTTCGGTCTGTTTGTCATCGTTTGTCAGACAGAACAGAGTGTGCGCGAACCAATAAGTACGGGTGTACATGGGTGATGATGGCATGCCTAGGGCGTAGGCCTTCACTCCGCTTCGGTCCCTGCGCCCATCACCAGTTGGTTGGCAGAGTCGGACAGTATGGGAGGGGCTGAGGAGTCTCTTCTCAAGACACATCAGCGCATTCCCCATTCCGATTGGCTTAAGTCTATCAAGACGCGTTGCCAGTCGTTGCATGGAAGACTGCCAACTGACGGGATAAAACGGTCCTCCGCAAGTCTGGGAGCCAGTCTACAGCGGCTGCTTCTTCTTGTGGCCCCTCCATTGCACTCTTATACAGGCAAGTCGGGGGCAACCCTCCTGAAAGCCTGGAATGCGCTGGGGAACCAGATCGCGTGTGAGGCACGCACAGACGGGTTATTCACTCTTGTCGGTTGCGTCGTCCACGCCCACGTCCAAACGTTTTGGTATTATCGGAACACGGTTAGTGATGAGTGTGCGGCAGACGTTACGCAGGTCTGTCTCATTATCAACTATTTCGCGCGAAAGTCCCAGGTGCTCTGCCCAGTGCGTGGGGCAAGCGCGGGTTTCGTAGGTCGTGACAGTCAAAGTGCCATCGTCGTGCCCTGCTCGGGGTCCCCGTTCATCCCCCCCTTAATATATGGCGATAGTTCGGTCGTCGTTGCCGATTATGTCCGGCGTGTGCTCCACAACAAGGTGAAGCAGGGACGATGGCATGCGCGTGAATTAGTTTACTGATAGCAGACTTGCACAACATCTATCGCACTCCTTCCTCCACCAGTTTTCCCTATGTTAAGACATAGTTAGGAAAACCGGGGGCGAGGGAGAACGCAGGTCGAGTCCGCGCCTTGACGCTCCACTCCCCAACCCCTGGTCCACACAACAAATGACCAGGATTTTGACCAATGACAGCAGTGGGGAGGTTCGTGGGGGTCCCAGTGTGCGCGAAGGCGCCGGCAACCGCCTCTGCCACCGCATCCCGAAATGTTGGCATTTGTTATGGTGTGCAATTCGATGACGCCTGCCAGAGTCCGATATAGCCCCCGTCTTGGTCCAGCGCACCTACCACGTGGCCCACTTGGGGGGGGGCACGCTTGTCACATACACACGACACGGTGCATCCCATACAACCGAAAAAATTCACAGAACAAGCCGGCCACTACTGATAATGGAAATCGGACTTAAGAAGGTAGGTGACTGACTCCAGTCAGCACGACTCAACTCAACAACGTGCATACCGTATGGCGTCTGTAGAGGTACGGCCTGACGTTGTAACTGCAAAACACACGCAGCTCACAACTGCCACTTGGATGGCTCAGCCGCTGACAGCTATCACTTCTCAACCAGACCTGTCCAATCTGCCCGAGGTCCACCAAACCACTGCAGCCATGGTTTCCTACTCAAAACAATAAGAGCAGAAGTGAGAATAGACAGGGAAAAAAACCCTCCCCTCCCTCGCCTACTCCACATTCAAGGTACATTCACAACGAGACTGGACAGTCCGGAACAGTCGGGGGTCTCAAGCCCCGGGGTCACCTACCCACCATCAACATAACAACGGGTGTGTAGGCGAGTTTAGCGAGTGGATATGTCCCTGTGAGCACTTCTATTCACCCTTCCGGCAAAACAACTTAAGGTTCGGCGACTTTATAGGAGGGTGGCTGGTTGGACCTCATTAGACGGTAAACAAAGTTCACTAAGTCGAAATGTCGTTATAGCTTGCGGGTCTCGGCATCCGACACTGTTGTCACTAACGACACCACCGCCAGGAGCAAGAAATATGCAGGCCGAATCTTACCGCCCCCCCTTTCCCCGCGACTCACCGTCACTTCTCACCACGCGGTTAAGCTCATTGAATAAACGAGAAGAGTCTCGTCTGTGAGGGTGCCATGACGAGGAGGGAACAGTAAAGGGTTTCCACAGCGCTTCTCGTATTGACGCCAATGCTGACGAGAAGTGGTGGCGGCCCGCGGATATCTGCAGCCGGGGTGGTGTGGTAGGAACTACTGTCGGAAATGTCATTTACATGCGAGAGGCAGTGAAAGAAGCCTCTTCGAGCACGCGTAGAGCGGACAGGCACCATCTGGCGGACTAGGAGACCGCAGGCGAGCCCTGGGCTTCCTGACGTTTGGTGCGCAATTCGATGACGCCTGCCAGAATCCGATATTTGCTCCCGTGTTGGTCCAGCGAATCTACCACGTAGCCCGCGTGGGTGGCATCCCCCTAATATATACGGAGTCATACCGAGTAAGGTGTTTTGCTTGCCTCATAAAACATCTGTCATCGATTTTAAAAGTTTCAGATCGGACCCATCAATGCAAATGCATCCCATCGGCGAGTGTCCTGTTACGTCTTCAGTCAAATAGCGCCTATGAGTTCTAATGAACGAGAGGTTTTTTTCAACGGAACAGCTAATAAAGTTTGTAATTGGAAAGCTCAGAGGACTGAAGCACACGAAGCCATGACGAAACTCCTACGGTTTGTTTGAAAAGGGAAAGGCTAAAAGTTGTTGAGAAGATTGGCTAACCTACAAGACGACGACAGTTTGACCCTTTCAAGTGACGAGTCCACCGTGGACCCCACGGAGTGAACACGGCGCTGACGACTTGCGTTGGGACAGACTTGCGGAGTATTTACCGCACTCTCTCCTCTCCCGTCTGCCAGGTTCCGATGACAAGTCAATGTCCATACGAGCGGAGGAGGGCGTGGGCGCAGTTGCTGACAATCAGCAATCCGTCTTCGCGTGCCACACACGACCGAACCTCAACTTCATCTACCGAGCTACCATGGGCAGCTCGTACCAGTGGACTTTCAAAAGCATTCGGCACTTTCCAAGTCACTTCCAACACTGCGGACGAAAATACATGAATAAGCACCTTACCGGACATATTTGTAGGTTAAACTCGACAAAAAATCACTACCTAGGTAGTGTGCGTCACTTTTATTGCACGCCGCTGTCATAGTTTGTCTGGAATATGCAAAAGAGATCATTTCCTTTTAAGCCTATGGTATTAATAATGTCTCCTTCTTCGAATGATTTACCAAGGCTTTTAGACAGCCTACCGTTCAACGAAATTTCAAATTTTCACACGTTTATTTGTGTAGTATGGTATCCTCCGTTTTTATTAATGTTCCTCACAAATTATGCACCTTGCATCATATCTACCGCAATGTGTTACAAGCACTCGGCGATCTCTGTATAGGGATAAAAAGTCTGACAATCAACTTGGGAACCTCAAGAATAAGTACTAACGTGCGTTGGCCTTCACATTATACAGGGATCATTAGAAGGCTTTACTACTGGAATGCTTCATTCATTCAGACACCGGCTAGGTAGACAACGTAATTTCGATCAAATATGCGGTTGGAGATATATTCTTACATATCTCACCCAGAAAATTTAAGTGGTTTTCCTAAAGGTATCGAAAATCCATTTAACAAAATACTCGCTACATAGGAGGGTTTTTTCCCAGTGTAAGTTGGACAGATGGACAGAGGGATGTTTAATACGAAATGCGCAAAGATTGGCCTCCCCTCTCCTCTTATCAGTTTTGCAACTTAACTATCAATACTCCTGGGTTATTTGACAGTTACTTATCTGAGAAACAAATAATGGAGTCTTATAATATATTTGCTAAGACCTACGCCGTATCCAGAAGTAGTAGTTAAAAAAGTGGATTTTGTATTTTGTCAACATCCATTAATTCGTTTATGCTTTGAAATATGCGGTTGATCGAGGTGACGTCTGATTGCCAAACTTTGATTACTTTCGTCAGTTTGCCTTCGGTTCGGCCGAACATCTGGGCATCGTCAAAGTGGACTGTGCATGCCGACGTGTGATCGTACATCCGTTCGCTTTACGGCCAAAGCGTGTTCATTCACGCGCGTGAGCAGTCGTTTTTCGGTCGTGCGGCAGTAGTTGACCAGACAGCCTAGACATCTGACGCGGTAAATGCCGCTTGACGTGTCCACAGGTGGTAACCGGCCCTTGGGCTGCATGAGTAAGAGGCGGATGGTGGCTTCCGGCCGGTGTATATCAGGGGGTAGGTCGGTACAGAATTGTTTCGGGCTTGTTTGCCTTCACTCAGCCAATCATAACCCAGCTGGGCCCGGGAACACAAGCACGCGAGAACATAGCTGGCGTAGCTATTCCACCACTGGGTCTACCAGATTGGTCATAGGCATTTCATCGGACCGAAGTTCATCAGTGCCTCGCCACCTGCCATTCTATTACAGGTATATACAGTAGGTGGGCTAACTCATGAAATGTCAACCGAAATTCAGAAATGCGTTTTCGTTTAGAAAAGATTAATTAAGTAGGGTTGTGAAATTAATCATCATGCAGCATAAGTCTATAATGCTTCAATTACTTCCGGATGCCGGTTTTCGAACGAACTTCTTTCCGGCTGCATGCAAAAACTACACTCGGTAAAGAATGACTACTTGAGTAGCATGCATGTTTCTGATTGGTTTTCGATGCCCTTAAAGTTCAATTATATTTCATGGAAAACAGGCAATAAAATATTCATTCTCTTGCTCATTCGGTAGAAAATTACGTCTTCTTCCAATTTTGTACTCGAAGGACGGGTATAATTCGGTTTTAAAAAAAGTTTCTAATTGAAAGATTTTTTAGTACCGTGAAATGGCCGTTCGTAAAACGTCATGTATCTGCATTTACCAATGTGGCTTGTAAAGTTAACAATATGATTCAAATCTACTGTTAAATTTTATGAACCCCATATGCTCTTCTCTGAATGCCGTAGAGAAATGTATGGCCTTCCATACGCGGAAAATATACGGTTTGTAGTCTGAAAACCCTGAATGCAAGTGTAACAGCAGGTCAGGTTCAAAATTAATCGGGAATTGGAAAAGTTTTTTTACATATGTATATATGGACAGAGGAATATTACGGACAAACACAAGGGAGATTTGAATGGCCCTTTCTGAA